CTGACAAGTGTGTAGTAAATGATAAATCACAGGCAAAGTTAACAACGTTTCAATCCGTGATATTATTTGCTCTGTGAGCAACAAATATGGAGTTATGGAGTCGAAAATGACACTTTTTTTCCCCCTAATAAGGCAAAAACAAGATTATGCTCCATTCATCCCATCTGAAAGGAAAGAGGACGATAACATCGTGTTACTACAGCCACAGAAAGGTTTAGTCACTTAATTTAAGCACTCAAGATGGAGACGGTCAGGGCATTTGTTGTTGACAGTCGAGATTAGAATCAGCCGCAACAGACAGTAGTCAATTTCAATAAGTGGACCTGATTGCCTTAGCTGATTACTTTGATTTTTATTAGCTTTGACTGCTCTTATCAATAAGATAGTTTCTCCAAAATTAGATTATATGAGGATACAAATAAAGGATAAAGGCAAATAACAGTAGACTGATTAAACTGAATAGGATAGAGATGATTTTTAAAAGGTGTCTTGTTCACCTGTGAAAACACTCCTATTAAAGTCATCATTTTGACATTAATCATTATTGTGGTTCTGGGTTTTCAGCCCAACATTTTGAGTTTGGCCTTTATCTTTTCTGTTTTTTAATTGTTTTTTGGATTTTTGAGTTTGCATTCTTTTACACCTAGCGGACACTTCCTGTTTGTGACGATGTTACTCTCAGGTTTTCTTCATCTTGGTTTTGCCACCGTTTACAATCTAGTTTCTGTTCGTGGATACAGTTTTATTTATATTTGATTCCTCGAGTTTCAGTTTATCGTGTCTCCTCTGTGTTTCCTATGTCTTACTGTCTCAGTGTCTGTGTTACATGTTCTCTTGTTCTGGGTTTCCTGTTTTATTTTCGTAGTTATCTTGTCGCTTATGTTTTGTGTTCACCTTCACTTCCTTCCATGTCTCATTATCTGGACTATGTTCACTTGTGTTACCAATATGTTTCCATCCGTGCCTGATTGCCCTCTGTGTCTGAGTGTAGTTAAAGCCATAGTTTGCTTGTGTTCCTTGTTCCGGTATCTGTTGTCCTTTTCCACTGTTTTCCTCGTAATGTGTTGAAGGCTGCTTTGGATTCTGTTTTAATTTTCCTATAGACTTCTGCATTCTGTGGATTTTGTACAAGCTATAATAAAAGGTTGGCTTTTATTTAATCTCAGAGTCTACATTCAGGTTCCAATCCTGCAACCCCAGACAATCACGATGTGAGTAAAAAAAAGAAATAGCAAACATGTGCAGAAAACGTATATCTTCTATGCCAATTGGCCACTGTAATTTTCCTCTTGTGACAGACATACTAAAGATGCCCTGACCCAAAGAGAGGCTCGGCAGGAGCAAATGACATTTCCTGTCAGCACTGCAACTCATGTGACAGTGTCAGTATAGGATGTCAACAGCATTACTATAGTCTCAGGGTACACTGATGACTGTCAGAGGAACTGCAAAATACTGTCAAGGGATTTCTCAATCTTCTTCAGCAGCGTTGTTACTTCGCACACCCAGATAACATTATAAAGAGATTTTTTCACCCCATGCTGGAGCCTTCTGAAATGGAAGAGAGACTCATTTTGAAAATTCATGTGTGTTACTCTATTGGCCCTGGAAAGTTCATGCAGAGTTTTAGAAAAACTTTCCTCTAAAGCTTCAGAACCACAGTGCTGAAACTCTAATCTGCATTGTCACATCGATGTACAGCCTGGAGCTGCTCCATTAACTATGATAACAGGGAGGAACAAACTCTTTTCTCTTGTTTCAGTCTCTGGCAGACAGCACTCACAGTTACCAATACAGGCTGAACTCTCTTAGGACAACAAGATGACATATTTCAAATCTCAATACAATGGTTCTCTTCTTTGTATTCCAACCACCTCTAAGGCTTTAATACTTTTTCTCTAGAATTTTGTTATTTCGAGAACAAAACTGAGATTTCCAGGGGGGGGAAATCTGGTTAGTGCTTGAATTTTTTTCTCTTTGCATGATTTTCTAATGAGCATCATTCAAAGTAAACCTTCCTTCCCAGAGAGCCTCACTGGGAGCTTCCACAGTAAGACATTGCATCTAATCGTCACTGCAATTATCTGTCCCACTGGCTTCATAGAGTCTGCCAGGAGTGGAACCTTTTCCTCAGCTCTCTCTTAATTTTCTTTATTGTCATTCCATAAACAAGATGCATTAGTAAAGAAAATGCACATTAATTTCCATTGGTCTATTTAAAATTAATGCTAAAGGAGGGTGGTTTGATTGATAAACTGATATACATCCAGAATTTTCCAAATTCTACTAAAACTGGAATTATTTTGATAAATATTTATCATTACCTGATAGTGTAAGGTGCAAATATATGAACTTGATGTAAGTGAAAATAGCAGAAGATCTGAAAGTGCAGGGGGATCACATCTTTCGTCAAAATCCTTCTGTTTTTGAACAAAGCAGTCAGCTTAAACATTCTGCGTTTGGATTTTTTTCTTTCCTCTCACTCGGCCTCTTTCTACATCCCAACAGTCCCTTCCCTCCGCTTTATCTGCTCTTCCCTCTAAATCTATCTCTCCCGTCTTGTTTTGTTGCTTAAGCATGGGCTCTCTTCCCCTTCTTCTGTTTCTTCTTCTCTTATCTTCCTCTGTCTCCTCCCCTTTTCCTTTACAATCCCTCCCTCTTTTAGTCTTAAGCAAAAATCCTGGCTCCCATCTTATCTCAAGCCTCCATGTAGCAATGCCAGCCATGACCAAAAAAAACAGGAACTTACATTTCCTTGGCTGGTTGCCATCTTCTCTGCCTCTCTCCTTCCCCACGGCTTTGGCCGGGTCATGTATCTGCCTGCCAGCAAGCAGAGAGTTGCATGAGCGATAGAAGAAGAAAAAAACAGCAAAGGGTTTGCTTTACTTTGCCTTGAGTTGGCAGATTAGAACCTTTGACACCTTATCTCTTCAGACGATTCAGCAGTCGACTTAGTTATCATGCTTGTGTATGTGTCTATACACAGCCTGTTAAAGAACTTTATAAAAAGGGATAACTCAAGTTTTTCAGGCACCTGAGGACAGATTCCAAAAGAAGTATTTTATGTTGCCCTTAAGAGTTTCCAAATAGCACAAAAACTTTACAAGAAATAGAAACTTTTAAATGTGAACAAATCAAAATCCAGAGCTTGGACTAAGGAAAGTGTTTCCCTTTTTGCTATAAATGACATCCATATATCCAGAATAAGTTCATAATAAGTATATGTACAAGCTGATTAATAAAGGGAGTAGCCAGTATTGGGGTGCTTTGAATCATCCTAACCCTATCAACCACAGTATGGTTTGCATAAAATGAGCTTTTTTGTACAGCATGTCAACCAATAAATAGCTCTTGGAAGAAATCATTGCAAATCTCCCCAAATCCATTTATTTTGAAGGCATGTGGGTTTTAGATGGAACGTATCCCAGCTGACATTGGCGAAGAGATGCGGCGCACCTTGGACAGGTTGGCTTTCATTCACAAAGCTAAGGCAGGAAGGCAGACAATCATTCACTCACACATTCACACCACCCAGTTCCAACAATTCACCAAGCAATCAAGTGAAGTGGCCCCATTTTTCAACTGCTGCAACAGTAACACTGTGCTTGACCCTTAAAGTTTGCTAGCAGATTTATTTTATGAGCATTTGAAGATATTTTCCCACTTAAAAACCAAAAAGCATAACATCAACGGTAGCTGAGAGAAAAAATGTGGAGATCACGGTTAGTATCGGGTGTGATGTGTGGGGATTATATATCTAAATATCTGAATCTAAATATCATTGCTTAGATTAGAACCATGTGGTGGACCAAAATAAAACTGAATCAACTGATTTTCATAGAATTTCCCAAGTAGAAGTCATGTCCATGACTGTAACTGTAACTTCAATTTTGACCAAGCAGAAAACTCGATGTTGCACACTTGAATTAATATCAGAGTAAAACCATAGAGTGTAGCTCAGTGGTGCAGTGGTTAGCGCTGTTGCCTCAGAGCTACCCACCGGTTGACTGGGGCCTTTCTGTGGGATCTCTCCGGATACTCCTCCCACAGTTAGGTTAACTTGCAATAGCAAGCTGGTCATAGGTGTGAATATTAGTGTGAATTTCTGTTTGTCTGTGTTCGACTGGGAACCTATCCTCCAACCTCCAAAATTCTTAAGCAACAACATTCAAGGTGAATCCAGGGTTACTTTGTGACTTTAATTGGCTTAATTATTAATGCTGTTTCAGCCTTGGTTTCATAAGCTAACAGATTAGTATTAATGGACACCCTGCTGTTGGCTCGTGGGTGTCAATTGTGAAGCATGTTTTCATCATTGCTGGACTGCTTTTATTTAATAACCCTGTTTATATAACCTTTTTTTCACCATAGGAAACAGCCATGTTCACAACATTCCAAATATTTAATCATTCTAAATATTTAATGAAGATGGATTTTCATTTGTGAGAGAATCACAAAATAATTTAATATGGACTAAATTATGTTACAGTGGATTCATGTGCAAATTCCAGCATTGCTGAACGGTGCTTGCTGAGACCTCTCGATCATCTAGCAACAGAGACTGAAAATGAGCAAACTACCTCCACTTGACTAAAGTGTTTTGCAATTTTTCTTCTCTGTGAACGTTTTTTTTTTTAATTACTCCAACCCTACATCCTGCTACAATTTTGAAGAAATTTGGAAAGCTCACTGCAAATATTCGTATAATGTTTATGAGTATCAGCTCAAAAACCTGAGTCATAATCATAACAGTGGCACAACCACAACATTTTTCATGTTGTGGCTGGAAGGCACCATAAATCGCTCAGTGTGTCCTCAAGATCTAATGCTAGGCATGACGATCAATAAATGTATTTACCATGGGTGCTGAGTGACTCATGAATTTTACATAGATAGGAAGCCTCTTTCCAAAGTCAATATGTCATTATGAATAATTCTTTACATGCGAAATCCCCTTCACGGAAAGAAAAAAACATGAATGGAGAGAGCAAATTGAGTCGTTACCATGGTGTAGTGTGGGAACATGCTGCGTGATATATTGGCAGATTTCAACACAGACACAGATGCGGTATTTGAGAATCATGTCTGCCGATTATTGGTGGAGTAATGCAGTCTGCAGATGCTGGCTATCTGTGCGACGCAAGGCAAACAAATGTGTCTGACTAGCCAGCACCGGGTACTCTGCAATACTCGGCCTGTACCTTTTCCTATATTTGCATCTGAACATAATTATAACACCCACGCAGTGACATTATTGCTATCCGGCTTTCTATTCTACCCAAACATTGTGAGTCTCGGCATAATAAATAATAAACAAAACTGGAAGAAGAAAAAACGAAGAGACGTGGAAAAGCCAAACCATATTTGCACTGGAAATGATGAATAATTGAATCTGGGAGGCATACTCACAGATGCAGACACAGACGTGCTTTCATGCACACACATTTACACGCACACATGCTATACACACACACACACACACGTAAACACAGGGGGAAACACACCACTGGGTCTCCAGTGCCATCTAGAGTTTGACTGCCCGAATGTGAGTGAAAAATGCTAATATTACATTTATGGTTTTTAGGAGTTTCGTTGTCATGGTGGCTCAAAAAACGAGGGTATGGGAGATTGTACGCTCATGTTCACCCTATTTCCTCCCACTGTTCAAAGACATACGATTGCCATTAAGCAACGATCACTCACACGAATAAATGAATATGAATGACTGTCAGTTGTTTTTGTGTCTGCCACTCAGTAAAGCAGCAGCCCTTCGTGAGTACAAAAAAGGAGGCTAGTAGAAAATTTTAATGATTAATTTATTTTTTTTAATTTTTAATTTTTTTTTTGCTGCATGTCATTAAAGCTTTTTATGGAGAAATTAAGACTTCTGTGTTTCACCCTGCAGTGTCACAGTGAATGCTCAAGCTTCTTGCTCAGTCTCAGCTGTACCAGCAAACAGCGGAGTGTTTGCCGAGGGCGACCACGCACCAGACCTCGTGTCTAGCAGCTGTGTGCTTTCACATATGTTCTTCACATTAATGAGAAGATGTGTCACTCTTCCGGCTGGCCGCTCCTGACAAAGCAACAAGCCATGCATGAAGTGTTATCAGCTTGTCGAAACACCAGCAGAGTGATTATCCCTCAGGGTATTGGTGTTGTTACAAGGATTAACTTTTTTTACCTCATTTTTCGAGTATGTTAACTTCCACCAGCATCAACTGGCCTCGGTTATTAGGGTTCCTGTTACTTTCTAGCTCTCTAAACTTGTCTGCCGAAAAACATGTCTAAATTATCTATCATCTATCTTCTTGTTCTTAAAATGTTATCTAATTAAGTTTTCAGATTAAATATTATTGTATTGTATTGAAATATCTAGTATTAGAATAGTGTGTATTCCTATCACTAAACCATATAGTTTATTCTATACTCTGACAAGATACAGTACAAAAAGTTTCATTATATTTTAAATGTTAGTAACAGTCCACTAATATAACACATGGAGTAATATGACCATGTAATAGTTTTAAAGAGTATTCCGTTTCTCAGTAATACTCCAATACGTTTAATTTCAAGATTTAAAAAAATGCATAAATGCATGTCTTTTGCTTGTCCTTATTCCAAAATTGTAAATAAATTCTCTACCACTGCTTATGGATTGTTATTTTCTGTGACTGTTAATACTGTGTTTCCTACATGCACCTCTTGCATGTAAAGAAGCAGACACAAACACAAAAATTCCAGAAGTTTTCACAAGCACCTTCATATCTGACATCCTTTTTTTCCCCCTATGGGCGCTGGCAAAGGAATACACAACATAAGCAGCTGTTGTTCTTTCCACCGCTATAGACGTTAATGTTGTGTTTCCCATTGGCAGCACTTCAGATGCCATTGGCAGAACCTGTGCTCTGAACATGGCACCACTCCAGAGGCTTTCCATCCCTTGCCATTTAGTGCCTCTGCAAGTACACATAGGTCAGGGTGATTTTGTTTTTCCCCCCCTCTCGGGAGGCTGAATAGACTGGGGTAAGAATTGAAAAAGGTACAGAAAAGCAATTTTGGTTACTTAAAAAAAATCACTGATGCTGTGCTTTGGATGTCCTCTTTTATCTTTTGATCCCTTTTCTTGCACCATAGAGTTGAAACTGAAAAAGAATAGCCAATACTGAGAGGGAAAGAGGTGGAAGGGAAACTTTTAATTGGCTACACAGAGCACAGCTGTGTTTTGTTGTTGCCCCCAAAATTCCATTTGTCAAAAGTGCAGAGCACTGCAATAGGGAGGCAGGCACCTGAAACTAATACATACTGTAAATACTGGTACCAGGGTATATAGAAGTCTGGTCACCTTCAGCAGTCATGCTTCCAATTTCCCGGATAAGATAACTAGCTAATTCAGTCAGGAAGTAGATAATTCAAATTGTAAACTATCATATTTGTCTAATTGACAAGGGGTATGTAGCTACTGAATGATTAAAGGCGGCTGCGTCTGACCCAAAATATCTGCACAAGCAGTGCCTCAGTGCAACATTTACTTTGATATGTTTTATTCAGTTTTCCTGACTCCAGAGAAGGGAGGAGGGGAGGCGATGTTGGGAATCAGACCGTGTTTCCAATCACCGACAGCATTGCCTCATTTCACTAATCATCATTCAAATTGATTTGCTTCCCCCACCTAGTCCCTCGTGTGAGTGTAAACGCTTTACAGTGACTGCACCCCCCACCCCCTACTGAATTGCAGCTGAATGGTCCCCAAGTTCCCAACAATAGGCTCATGAATACTGAAGTAGTATTTTAGTATTATATTTTTCTCTGGC